AATGCATATATGATATGACAATTGGAATTAAAAAGATTATATTTTAAAATATTATATATAATATTTTGACATATATTCACTTGAAAATAGTGGTAAGGATCTGCATATGTAATAATATATTCTCGACATGTTTTAGGTCATAAGTTTCAATTTTATTTATTTTCAACTCCATGTACAATGAAGTATTGTCACGTAAATTAGGACGGAAGACAACATAGTTTATCGTACGTATTTTGTAAAATTCACTAAAATCAATCAAAATACATAAATTTTAAATTCTGAATACGCTCGTAACTGAGTCACTTTCTCACTATGATGATGTTGCATTTTGTAAACAAATTCCAAGAAGAATATGGTTCAGAGTGACCCTACTTCTTTTTTAAAAAGCAAAAAGGATGCACCTTTTTCCATATATTGTTTTGCAGGTATTGTCTTTTAAAGGAGAGACTTGACTTCATGGTACAAAAATTGTGTGTATAGTGATGACAGACTGGTGAAATTGATAGAAAAGAAAAAAACTATGTGTGATATATTATTATATATATATATGTATATAAATAAGTGTCTTTTGGTGAACCATTTTGCTTCATTGGTTTAGTAATAATTTAGTTAATTACTAGACATGGCTAATGAATTCAAGCATTTGGTTTTGGTTAAGTTCAAAGAAGATGTTGTGGTGGAAGATATTCTAAAAGAGTTGGAAAAACTTGTCCAAGAAATGGATATTGTCAAGTCATTTGTTTGGTAAGTAGTCATTTTAATATTATGTAGATTTTGTTGTTCGGATTCTTCAAAAATATGTTGATAGGTGCATATCGGTTTTCCTAAAAATAGTGTTTTCTTGAGAGATCCGATATGAGTGTGACAACATTTTAAAGAGTCCGAGCAATAACAAAATTACTCTATTCGTTCTAATTATGTGTTAGTATTCCACTTGCACAGAGTTTAAGAAAGGAACTTGTGATTTAAAACGATGCCATAATTGTTTGTTATTTAAATTATGACAATCTTTTGGGACATAAAAAGGAAAAGGAAAGTATGTTATATAAAATTGCGACGAAAGGAGTTTTAGAAGTTTAGTTGTTATAAATTCTATGTTGCTCAGACTTTTCAAAAGTTGTTGTAAAACTCGTATTGGATAACTTGAAAATGTGTTACATCTCATACACATCCAACGACATTATTAAAGACCGAGCAACATAGATTATGATATAATGAATGAACTAGCTATATTTTTAATAATATAAAACCACACTTCATTTATCACTTTTTCGTAAGTTTTACACTTTTAACTATCAAGAATTTCCCTTTTCTATCTGAATATTAAAACACACCTCGAAGTTGAGTATACCAACTATCATTTGTTCCATTTCCTATCTAGACTATCATCATCTACTCAACTCGCACGATGTGTTACAATATATAAATAGTGATAGTTCAAATAGTTGAGATGTGAAACTCGCAACAGAAATAAATGATAGTTCAGATATGTTTACATAAATAGTGATAGTTCAAATAGTTGAGATGTGAAACTCGCAACAGAAATAAATGATAGTTCAGATATGTTTTTGATCGTTACATGATTTTTTTTGGCAGGGGAAAAGATGTTGAAAGTCATGAAATGCTTAGACAAGGTTTCACTCATGCTATTATAATGACATTTAATAGCAAAGAAGACTATCAAACTTTTGCTAATCACCCAAATCATGTTGGATTTTCAGCCACTTTTGCCACTGTGATTGACAAGGCTGTGTTGCTTGATTTCACTGCTATTTCAGGCAAAGCTACTTAATATCATCAATTGTCATAAAAAAGAAAAAAAAAGAGTATTATGTGTGTTTCAATGTTTTACTATGGTTTTTTTTTATTGTTCAAGTGTGTGTTAATTAAGTGAACATTTCTTTTAATCTTTGCTTCCAAAATTGTGGATGGTTTAAGATATGTGTAATGTATCACTATGAAATAAAAACTTCCTTTTTTTTGGGAACTTCTGGCGTGTATCGGTCGGTCCAGTTCGATTTTAGGTATTATCGATTTGGGTTATCGATTTTTGATTTTTAAATATGTTAATCCAATAACAAACCAATAAGATAATATTTTATCGGTTTTTAGTTTTTTGGTTTAACTATTTTTGATTTACTCAATAAGAATATGTCCATAAAATATTATGTTTTCTTACTTTTCTGAATACTTTGAAATAGTAAAACAAGAGAAATTGCATCAATAAGAGAAAATATAGTACGAAGGCTATAATTACATGTTACCACCAAAACATAGTATGAATTTTTTTTATGTTAATCAGATTACGGATCTTTACAAACTTGTAATTGTTACAACCTACAATTACAAACCAAAACTAAAATAAAATAGTTCAACAAGACTAAAACTAAAATCAAATAGCTACAATTGTGAACCCCTTACTTTAATCTTTAGGTTTTGAGTAAACAGTAAAAACTAGTAAAGCGACGCAATATGAAGTTCCATAACTTATGCAAATTCGATGGGATTTTCTTGCTAAAGCACCTCGTGTCTAATTGGAAGGGTGATGTAAGACCTTTAGTGCAAAATCACCGTATCTACGAGATCAGTGTCAAATCAGGGAAAAGGGTGCTATTCCGTTTTCGCGACTCATTGAATATGTTAGTACACATAATTCACTTTCAAGGAATCTATGTCCTGAACTCGGTTCTAAAGGGGAGGGAAGCTCTTTTGGAGACATGATGGGAGTTGCCGGTGTATTGGGCACTGTTTTGCTATGCGTCATTCAAGGTGCTACCGTAGAAAAGACTTTATTTGAAGACAGTGGTGGTGCTAAGACATTCCGTGCTTTTAACCCAACTCAAGCTGAAGAAACTTATTCAATAGTCACTGCGGTTGGTAGAATACTAATAATTTGATATAGTTATAGTGTCTAATTATATATTGAATTATTAATATTTAATAATTAAAAAAGGTAAAATAATAAATTATTACCGTCTTATTGGGTTATCGGTTTACCTAATAACCCAATAAATTTTTTTATAAATCCAATAACCCAATAACATTTTTTTCAATTCGACTTATCGCTCTGTTCGATTTTTGCACACCCCTACTTACAAATGAGCACGTTATGATAACCTGCTCATTATACAATAATTCACAAATCACATACAAATATAAATCGTATTAGAAAATCTCACGTGAGTCCTATAAAAAAAATATAAATTATTATCAAAATTACATTTTAATCAGTATCACAAACGCTATTCAAACAAAAAATATAATTTAAAATAACAAATCTTTTTGAACTGCTTCCAATTCATTACTTTCCATATGGTGTTATATCCTAGAACCCCATATCTTTTTTTAATATGCTATTTTTAATTAAAAGTATTTTTCAAAAAAAAAAAAACTTTTGAACATTAATAAGAATTAATATTTATTTTGATAAATTTAAAACAAATTGATAATATTACATTTTTTTTTTAGCTCGAGGAAAACAAGTTCTGCTACTACTCGAAAGTACTTATTTCTTTCTTAAAAACTTGACCAAAAATCATTAACTTCTTAAATTACATGTGTATATATAAGCAAGTGACTTTTTATTTTCGTTTTTTCTTTTCTTTTTTTTTAAAAAAAAATCGATAAATTTTAATAAGACATGGTTCGAAACTTGATATATTTTTATAATAACACAATCATATATTCAGTGTAATTCTGTAAATGACGTATGGAGAGAATAGTGCATACGCAGTTGATATTTAATCACATATTGTCAAGTCAAGTTAACATTATTTTTAATAAGTTCATTTTTTAGCCGATCCTAACTTGTTTAGAACAGAAGTATAGTTGTTATTCTTCGTCTTGATGTATAGTCACACAACTTTTTTGTTGTTGTTGTTAATAATTGGTAAAGGAATTTGCTAATGATCAAATTGATGTTGTCAAAGTCCATAAATACTAAGTAACATTTTTCTTTTAGGTTCGTTTTAGTTGATCCCGACTTGTTTGGAACTGAAACGTAGTTATTACTGTTCGTCTTTGATGTATAATCACATATTTTGACGGGGGAAAAGATAGTGAAAGCCATGAAATGGTTAGACAAGGTTATACTCATGCTATTATAATGACATTCAACACCAAAGAAGACTATGAAGCTTGTCTTAGTCAGCCGAAAGAAGTCGAATTCGTGATTTTTTCTTGTCACTGTAGCTGAAAGTCAAAGCTTCTTCGTAAAGAGTCTGAGCAATATAACTGTGCCGCATTTGATGTTCTTTAAGGCTATTTGAAGTTTCATGTGTTTTGAATGTGAACATTGTATACATTTAGTTGTATCAATCTCTATGTATGAAGTATATCTTGTAATAATATTTGATGAATTTGTGTCCTTTTTCTAATGTCTTGTTGCTTGTGTTGGTTAGCAAAAAGATAAACTTAAAACTACAAAACAAATCTAACTTTTGACTTTTCATTACCTATGTCTCTGCTATATTTGTTGGTTCATGTGATTTTTAGATCTAATTTATTCTGACAAGACATAAGTATCTTTATTTGATTCTGTAATTTAAAATTCGTAATTAGTAGACTATACGAATACAATTTTACTGTTGCTCCAGTAGCTTAACGGGATGTAATGTACACAATCTTTCTTTGATTCTACGTCTTGAAAATCGTGAACTATAAGTCACATAAAAATAATTTTACTGTTGCTTTACGATTCCAATGGAATGTAATATAACAATCTACCTTGATTCCACGTCTTGAAAATCATGAACTATAGGTCATATAGAAATAACTTTACTGTTGCTTCACGACCCCAATGAAATGTAATGTAACGATCCACCTTGATTCCACGTCTTGAAAATCGTGAACTATAGGTCATGCAGAGATAACTTTAGCGTTCCTAAAGCATATTCTATTAGATTTTTATTTATTTTTTTAAAAAAAAGGTGATTATATTTTATCCTAAAGTTTTATGATGCTGAAAAGAATATAATAAGTAACAAAAAGATAGAATATTTTAACCTGCAAATTGAAAAAGTTGATTCTTTGATTCCTCTTTTTTTACAACCTTTCATCTATTATTACTTTTTTTGTATATTCACATAACTCCATTCTTGAAGTGTAAAAAAGATCAAATCTTGAATCAAGTAAGCAAAAAACAAACAAAACATGGAAATCTTGATCAAGAAAGTTCATTTTCTAGTCTTTTTGATCATTTTTATGAATTTTTCCTTTTCACAATCAACACAAATGTATTGTGGAAACATAAAGATTGAAGATCCATTTGTTACTCAAAACTCAAAAAATTCATCTTTCTTGAAGAGCCTTGTCCTTTGTAGATCAAACACTTTATACTTTAAAACTTCTCTTGATGGCCTTTTCCAAATCTCTTCAATTGATTACAAAAACAAACTTTTAACTATTTCTCATCCTTCTTTTTCTTGTTTGATGATTAATGATGTTCAAGAAATGAAATGTTCACATTATAGAAGAGTTTATAAAAATGTGAAAATTGAGTTAGGGACAAGGATATCTTGGGATGTTGATCATGTACCAAATCCTTGTGATGAGTGTAGAAAACCTCATGGGAATTGTGGAGTTGGATTGAGATGTCTTTGCCATATAACAGAATGTAGTAAGTTTACACATTTAGCCACTTTGGCTACAAAAATATATTTATATACATGTTTTATACACTAAATATACATATATTATACATCTGTGGGCTATTTTTTTTCTTCATTTTTTAGGGTGGGAGGTTGTTAAGTTAGTTTTACTTTTGTTTTAAACATCAAATTTTGTGTTTTGTATGCAGAGGTGGAGGTTTCTGTTGGTGCAATTAAGAGATCTAGTGGTACTATGCTCTTCTCTTTGCTTTTCTTGATTGTACTTTTGAATCATCTTGAAGGGGTTTTAATGTAGTTAAATTCATCACTATCATGTGTAAAAACAAAGATATATTTACTTTAACTTACTTTCTATGACAAAGAATGAGAATTTGGCATTTATGAAATTATTTGTTGTTATCTTGTACCGAAAGAATATGTTGGTCGAACTCGCTAAAAATATCACTAGGTTCTAGTGTGTGTCAAATAAGTAACTTTTTTGGAGGATTCAACACACAAGTGTGGATTCATTTATAGAGTCAGTGCAACATAGCTAAATAGTGTGATCGAGATCTGTCTTGCTCGGACTCTTTAAAAATACGAATAAATGTGTGTCAGATCCTCCAAAAAGCAACACTGGTGCATGACTAGACATTAGCTAAGAAAGTGTTTGATGAAGATTTCCAAGATGCTTCTTGTTTCAATATATGTCAAGAAGTGAAAATTACTAGTGGTGGGGTGCATTTTCCACTTAATTTGTATGAGCATGTGCTAAACTTTACTACTTGGAACACCTTATGGAACAAGTAGGGACATGATATACAGCCCTTTTTAGTGAATACATTGTTGAATTTAAGCTTTTCATCATGCTGTAAAGTTATGTCATTGTTTGCCTAAAGTTATATGAATCCACACTCTTTTTTCTTCATAGAATTATGCACCAAAAGTTCACGAGCAAGGTTTGTCCAAATACGATATAAAGAGATAACTTTACCTCCCACCCTCTGGTGTGGGACTCAACGGTGGGATTCAATACCCTAGGAGGCTAGGACACCCAAAACTGGATATCCAGAGTGTGGACAATATAAGGTGAAACAAGAATTGGATGAGTCTGACTCTGATGCTACATTGAATCTAACTCGATCTGAACGCTTGATCACGAGAAGAAAATTTATCCAAAACCATATAAGAAGACACTCCAACAAACCAATATGGTACTCAACAATGTGCATGTGGTAGGGACCAAAATTTGAGGCAAACAAAATGCAATATCATGTCTTGTGATCATAGAAGAATTGTCTTGTTGAGAGGTTGAAAACTAGAGAATTTATAGATGATAATATGTTCTTTGTTAAAATTGACTCTTTCATTGGGTAAAGTGCAAAAATATATACAAATATATATATCTATCCAATCAAATAACAATCATAATAAATTAATAACCTAATAAAAACGTGATAAACTAACCTATCATAACACGTTAAATCATGCGTAGAAAATAAAAGAAAGAGAATTTGGTGGGAATAATGATGAGTACTTTAATGGAGCTTGAGGGGCGCAAAGAGTTCATCTAAATCCCTTCTGGTTTCTTCGTATATTTATTTCGCCGTAACTGAAAATTCCAATTGGATTGTTGGTGGTAATTCATGACCTAACAAAAAAACATTTTTTTGTTGTTTAATTGCAAAATCAAACTTTAAAAAATAGTATTATATGAAATTATAGGGAGAAACTTTTATCTATTTTTGTCAATTAATCTATTTGGGCTTTTCTAAAGCCTCCCCATGAGTCAATTTGATGTAAATAACACTGACTGATTTACACAAAGTATAAAGTGAGAGAGGCGAGAGAGAGTGGCGAGCGAGATTTTTGGGAGAGAGGCGATGGTGAAGTGTTTGTTAGATATTAGAATTAAATGAAAATGTGGTAATAACGTTTAATTTGAATTTATAGTTTGATATTTCATACAATATTCCCTTTTTTAAAATACACCGTCAAATTTGAGTGAAAATTATTAAATTGTCCAAATATATATATATATATATGAGATTCTGTGTCAGCATGAGCCCAATACATGTTATTGTGTCAGTCTTAATTTGTGTGATACAGTTGAAATTAGAGAATCATTTAAAAATAATTACTATGATTTTAGATATTCTAAAAAATTAAATTAATTTTGTAGCTTTTTGTTTAGAAGTTAATCAATTTCTCAAAATTAGATCAAAACTAATAATATTCAACATATTGGTCTAAAAAGTGGCCAACTTCTAAAAATAAAACCACAAAAAATAAGAAAAGTAAACCAAAATAATTGTCCACTAAATTGATTAAATTAAAAATAGGTAACATGTGTATAATATTTGTATAATCAATGTATAATAAATCTATCTGGCTATTCGTATAAAAATATCCTAAACTAAAATAACGATCTATCATGAATAACACATCTTAATTGACCATATTTGAAATTATTCATAACCTAACTCGTTCAAGTAGTAAATTTAAATTCTAACTTTACCTCTGCTATCGATACCAAATTGCGTACTCTGGTAGGAGAGAAAAATAATTAATAACTTGATTTAGTATTCGACCAAATTATGTTATTATCATTTCTTGATTCATTAGTAAGCTAATTTTATTTCTATCTTTAATAATAGGAATTCAATTTCATCTTTTTTTTTTCTTCTCCCTTTTCATGATCTTTCCTTAATTCTATAAGCGGGATTTAATCGAATAGAATATATGTAGACTTTATAAAAGAAATTATTTGTATTTGATGTTTGAACCAAATCGATGATACACAAAAGTACTACTCCCGCTTCGTGTATATAATGAAATTTTGAAATAAATTTGTGAAAAGAATGAGAAATAATATTACTTAATGATTTATCAAGTTTGATATAGAAATGTCCTCGAAAATAAGAAGTTTTGATCCAAAACAGATAATATAATTAATAGTAAGTTAACACCCATGTGACGTATCTATTAGGTTTTTATCTCAAATGAGAATGATTTTGCTCACTATACATGTCGTTTTATCACTATAAAATTCAGTGTTCGATATTTGCTTTGGAGCTCCTATTCTTATATACATGCATTAAAAAATATATGTTGGATATTTACTAAAAGTTCACCAAATATTTATAATACTTGACGGTTAATATTATTATTATTATTATTATTATTATTATTATTATTATTATTATTATTATTATTAACTTTAAGTTGTTGTAGGAATCCAAATAAAAGTTAGATCATGTGAATTCAATTTTACTCGATTAATTTGAATTTACATCGTGATCATATAATATCATTAAAGGCAACATCCAAATATAGAAGTTGAGTAGTATAATTTTAATACAACAATATTTATATGTTGATATATAGTGTAAAAATGAGAAATTTTCAGCAGTATTGAAAGTGAAACAACATTAAATTTGTCTTGGTGGCCCATATTGGTATTAAGGTGTTTAAGAAAAATAAAAGAATTACACAAAATGGAAAAAAACAATTCACAACCAACTTTGATAAATTGATGTGTTCATTCACTTAGCAAAGTTGATATGTATATCAAGTATATGAGGTTATTTTTTTTAGAACCAATTTGAATTTATCGTGAATTGATTAGTTTTACGTGAATTGTTATCAAATTAAAATCTTTTTTATTTATTTGATTTTGAGGCGGTAATGTTAGCAAGCTGACACTGGCGGAGTTCAAAAGAAGAAACTATGATGAGTTATATGAATCGATTCACAAGTTCAATATCAATGGTTTGATTTCTAGTGGTAATACATAGCAAATCTGTGTATATATCATCTACGAATACACAGTATCGAAGATGTTAAAAAGGGATGAGGTGAATCTAAATAATATACATGAAAGAAGTCGTAGCCTAAACCCACAATTTATTTAATTGCACGGTTTGTCCTTTAAATAGATTGATTTTTAGTTTTTGTCTATAAAAATCAAACTTATGTCTAGTCGGGTATACATCCTTAAGGGCGTGGGGCACGACTTGTGAAGTATTGTGATGTGAAAATATAAATTTATGTCTGACAAAAAAAAGTTATTTATTATTAGGAGTAAAAATTTAAGACCAACACGAAATAGAGAGAAAAGTGGAAATGACCCGATTCATTTGTCCCTTGGACTACATTATCATTGAGCCCAAAAACAAACTTATCATGTGAACTTGCATTATAAAAAGACTTCACTTCGTATTTCATTTCGACTTAAAATTTATCTAAGGTACCACATACATTTATTTTTCCGAACCTATCAATTCTTCTTTTTAACCTGTCCTCATCGATCCATCCTCTATCATAGACGTTACATAGCCAATCTCGACTTGTTTAAAATTAAGATATAACAATCACTCTAGTGGGTACCATACCAATTAAAATATGGGGTTCATAAAAAAAAATAAAAAATCAATTTTCATGTACTTTTCTTCTTATCAATAACAGACTGTCTGATGTATATAATTACAAGTTGTAATTTAATGAAGAAAAAGCCCCATTTTTATACATGGTCCACCCACCCCACCCCACCCCCCTTTGTCTCTAGGAGTTTTTTTTTAAAAAATCCGTTCTTCGACGTTTTATATTTTTTATTAAAGTATAATTGAATTTAGATTTACATCGAAATTCTTAAAGGGTAAAATACTTTCTGATAACGATAACTTCGTATTTATGAGATATAAATCTCAAAACCTCTTAATTAAGAATGAAGAAGTACTTATCACTCGACTACGACTTTTTGTTGGTTGTCTTTAGGAGTTGTGTACTAATTTGCCAGTGAAACTATAGTCAGTATTGTTCAGACAAAAACTACAAAAAAAAACTTGTGATCCTTCATTATTATTGCTGCTGGCTACAGTACCACTTTTTTTTTTTCATATTAAATTTTGGTGTATCTTTGTGTATCTACACATAATTTAATATTGTCATGATATTTCCAAAATAAATTTTAAAGTTTATGAATTTTCAGAAATCGAGGGAAATTGAACCATCGTCAAAGAGGACAATAAAGTTTAAGTGAGTATTATCGTTGCACCAAAAGCCTACGAAGTCATTTTATTCTCCAAACATACTTCTTACTATAACTGCGAGTGATGACAGAGTCAGAATTTTCGTTCGGATGAATTAAAATATAGAGAAGTAAAACACATTAACTAAAAAAGTTACGAGAATTAAATATCTAATATATAATGTATATATGTTAAATAGTTTTGACTTTATATATACAATTTAATTTTTTCGATAAAAATATTTTTAAAAAAAACTTTACGTCCCTAGTTTCGGAAATACGAATCAATGAATCAAATTTCCCTTTCCCCACCAAGGGGCGGACTATAGTTTCACTTATATATTCAATGTAATCTAATAATTTTGTGTTCGATCATAT